TATTAGGCACAAGGTCTAAGAAAAAATGTTATAACAATAAATCATGATATTACTTCTGATAGTTTTCTATCTTCCACTGAAAAACGAACGATGAGACGATGACTGGTGTACTGATGACTCCCGCGAAATATATGGAGGAGCTGGGTTTGAGTAAACAACCATGAATTGATCATTCAATCTCCAACTACATTGACAGAGGTTTTCTAGTTGACACTGCTAAACATTATATCAGTGTTGATGAGATTTTAAGGTTCATTGTGAGTCTCTCCTCCTTGTTGTTCTTCTACTTGTACTTATGCTTCACACTGTTTCAGGATGCAATGGCAATTGTGAAAATGAATGTATTTCATTGGCATATGACGGATGACAGCTCATTCCCCTATGTGTCATCCATATATCCTCAGCTGTCCTTAAGGCACTGCACTGTTCACATTTTTCGCATCGCTTCCCTGTCTATATAAGTTACGTATCATCCACGGAAGTTGGTTTATGAGAATGCAGATGTTGTTCGAGTGATACAGTATGCTCGTCTACGTGGGATACGTGTGATGGTAGAATTGAATACACCGAATGAGTAGGCAATTTGATACTCTGTGTTTTCGGATTAATATTGTCTTTGCATGTTCCATAACATGAATTGTGTTTCGCGTCAAAGAAGCTTTTGCTCATGTGTAAACGTGGGCTTTTTCAAATGCCGTCACATTTTAGTTACTGTGTAACATGTGATAGTTTCTGTTGTTAGTGTGTAACTGTAACGTTTCAGTCATTTATTTGTATACTCATGTAGTTGGCTATGTCGTGCGTAATCTAATTATCTGGAATAGCAGGAAGTTCAGCCTTACTCCGCCAGTGTGACCGTTTTTTCATACTCAAGAAAATATGGAGACATGAATTGCCTGTGTTTCATTTAATTCCTTACAATTCAGTGGGATTCTGAAACAACTTGCTTTTCAGCTGTTTAGCTCTACAAGTTGTAGTGATGTTAGAAACATCAGCATTTGTTGGCGAGCTTTCTACGTGACAATAGGTGACTAATTCGGACGGTAATTCCTCTAATGGAACTTATGCTGTCCGACAAGTGTTTCTGAATCCCGTGTCAATGTAGGCAAATATGTAAATGTCATGTAGAAGCTGGTCGAATAAACACTGAAATGTGTGAGTGGAGTTCAGGAGTTCAAAAAGCATTGAGAATTATTCATTTAATGCACAACGAATTGTGGTATCTGTTTCCTGGATTTCATGTGGAGGAATAGGAATATGATGGTAAGCTGTACAAAAGGAGAATTTCTGAGAAAACAGTGAAGATACGTAGACATGACACGATGAATATTGTTTAGGATCTGTCTACTGTGTTTACTGTCCAATAATGTCCCCATGCCCTTGGCCATCGTCTTCGGCTATCCGCAGTTTGATAAAGTCTCATGGACATGGTCTGAAAGCAAACGGTAGACTGTGTCAAAATGCGATGTATGGGACGACATTTGTGTTCATTTACAGAATATATGGTTTCCCCAGGAAATCAAAATGAATTTCGGGATGTAACATATGGTGTTATCCTGCAAGACACTTTTTGATATATCTGTGTACAAAGTAGTGTTTGATTAGCGTATCTGGAAGAAGTTCTAGCATATACTCTCTTTTAATGTGCAGCTATACACACCACGTTAGAGAGTCAGGGGTATGTTGTTAGTCGTTCGTCTGGAGTAAGATTCGGTAACCGGTCACTCAGTTTACAAATCTTGCTCCAAGCAGCTGCATTCACTACAAAATACCCTACACTTTTGTGGGGATTTAGAGATACTACTATGAAAAATAAGGATGATTACAATAAAGGCGTATGCACATGAACTACAATGTCGGAAAACATAATGATAAGCCTACCGGTAGGTGTTCAGCAGTTTTTAGTCAATATCCAAATGTAATATAAGTAGTATAGATATTATGGAACACAGAGTCCATTGTCTGACGCGTCAGTTCTACTAATTCTTCACATTTTTCAATGCAACCAAACCTTGAGACTTGTCAATACTCCCAATGTAGAGTCGTAGGCAAACTGTGAAGTTTAAGGGTAGCGGATTATTTTTTTGTTTTTGATTACAGCTTGATTCCACACTGTATTTTTGGTACAAGTATGGAATTTTCAGCATGGATATCGGTAGCCCAAATTTTGCAGGCCGACCATAGATATCAGGTGTGCGTCGGTGGGGGATCGAACCTCGGATCATTTGCATGGTCGGCGACAGTCCTTACCACTGCGCCACCAACGCAGAAACGTCTAATTAAAACACACGCTATATGAATTGACCATTCACAACCAACCAATCCATGTTGCCACAAAACAAACGTTCAAATTCATAGCGTGACAACTAACTACAATAAAGAATATCAGATCAGGTTATTACAGCAAGCATTCTAGTATTTTCTCACCAGAGTTTCTAAGTGTACTTTGATTTGAATAATTGTATACAACGAGTTTAGTCATTTGATGTGATGAAATGAGAGCAAAGTATTTCCTTATGTCAATAAAATATTCAACTCAAACCTAATAGAAGTTTATTTGTATAAGACGATAAGTTTAATTTCAGGAGCTTTATTAAAAGATATTATTATTTCATATTTTTGGAGCTATGAAAGGTCGTTTTCTTAAACAAAAATGTTTAAAGAAGCAGTTCAAAGTTTCGAAGTTATTGAAAACATCAGATTTCTTTGAAGGTGTAGAATGATTACGACGACAAAGTGCAAACGTGATATGGTATTGTGCTTGATTCTAATTAACAATCATAATTATGCTCTAAACATAATACGATTATGATATTATTATGAGGAAAGCTATAATCAACCGTATTTTTGGTCCATTTTCAGCAGAGTATTTCTTGAAAGCTGCAGAATTCTTCAAACGACAAGTGTTGTTTGTATTTTCCATTGAGATCTGCTAATCTTTTGATTGGAGATCCTCACTTATAGGTAGATTTACACTCTTTAGTTTATCCAGCGTATCTACCATAGTGGCAAGATATACGGTCTCAATTCAGTTATTCTATTCATCTGTCTAGAATCCACACCTTCTCTGAACTTCCGATTGAGAATTTTTATTAGGAGTAATTAACAGCTCTTTGGGTCTTCATCTACTGCAATAATGTTGTCGTTCAATCTCACCTGGACTTTTCACTCAAACCGTCCCACTAATTTAGGTGTAACTCCATGTGCTTTTGGCGTTTTCATCTTCCAACCCATTATTCAGCTTTTATTTCTATCTATATCATGTAACAACTGGGATCTTCAACTCGTTTTCTTTAACACGGTTAAATCAGGTTTCTTTCAATACCCAGACCCCTTTTTTCTCAATATTCTCATTCATGTTGTTCGACTTTTCTCTTGTAATCACAGCTGATTTTTCCATGCTGATCATTGAGTCTACTAACCACTAAAAATCACACTCAAAACCACCGTCAGTGACAGAGGGCTATCTATAAATGAGGATAGCAGATATAATAGTACTGATAGGACTAATGATGGTACTGACAGCAGGTGCGGTCTAAACGTCAGTGGTGATGCTATTAATGCATTTCAAAATCTTATGCGAATTTATTTTTTAACATGCTGAACTGTGAGGCATATTTCAGCCATATAACCGTGACTTACTTCAATTCGGGAGGCGTATATCAGGACAAGAATTATATATTCTCATTCCCGTCTCATAATATTTGCAACAGAAGCTTCTGTTGAGATAAGTAACACTTTAGCTTATACATAAAAAGATCAGCATTAGAACTATTCTCCAAATTTGAAATTTATATCTGCGATTCTTACACAGATCACACTTTTTCAGAATCGTCCATATCCAGACCACAAAAATAATAGTTGCTTTATTCCAAAACAGTAAGTTTGATGCAATGTGGAATCTGCAGCACGTTATATAAGATTGCATCTAACTTTTACCTAACATTTACATGGTACTGGGGAAATAATTCTTAGTGCATTTACACTGGTTATGATATCAGTAAGAATATGAGTTTAAAACTTAACGCACATGTTAAAATAGTTACTGAAGACATTCTGTTAATCATAGTAAGAATAAACAGCACCGTCCACTTACAGTCTAGTAGGTAATTAGTCCTGCCTGATGAAATACAGGGAGAGAGGGGAGTTGACGAAATCCATGAAATGTTCTGAATTCCTTTAATTATTTGAGACAACAACAGTGTCATCCACGTGTCCCTTTTAAACCCAAAGTTGTGTTTTCGAGTTTTGATATATATAAGCAGCACTCGCACACGCGACAAGCTAAGGATGGAAAGTATCCAACGATATTTTACCTCAAAACTGCTTGGCTACGATTGTAAGAAAGACTACATCTCACGGTGCATGATACTAAAACTTGACCCACTTTGACGAGGCGACTTATCATAAACCTAACATTCTTCTTTAAGGTCCTTCACAAAATATCTTTCTCAGGTAACAGGGACATACAATTCGCACAGGAAGGTTCTTACGATCTGCGTAACCAAACTTCCACAGTGACAACTCATTCTTTTAGGTCAACACTCCGTGAAAACTTCTTCACAGTCATGTATTCTAAAATATGGAATAGCCTGCCCCTAGATATCAGAACGTTGGTCGTCCAAGGGTGACTTGGAGGAGGTCATGCGAGGAGGAGATGAAAGCATGTGGACAGACCTGGAGCAGGGTGAAAAAGTTGTTAGAAAACCGAAGTCAATGGAGGTGCGCAGCTGAAGCCCTATGTTCCTCTAGGAACTAAAGGATACAATAATAATAAATAAATAGATTTATTAGGGTGACATTCTACCCAAACGAGGATATGTTCAGCGTTGTTTTACTCCGCATTAGCACCCATTGGTTAATTAAATTCACATTCACGAATAACAGAACAGGTTAACCAAATCACATGGCATGGTTGCATGCAGACACACGCAGACTCAAATAAAAAACACATGCGACAAGATGGATATAAATACTCGTTACAACAGCATGAAGAACATGAAGTTTAACGGAAAACAAACATGTCAATTGCTCATTTGATTAACCTCATATTTCTCATGGTTTCAGACAACGGTGTCAATGCCTTAGTACCGAGACCACGGAAACACATTGAAGGAAATACACTTTGTAGCTTAGCTGAATCACTCACCATTGAACATAATTATCCAAAATGCTTTATTCTGATTGACGCCCTGAAAGTGTTTAATGAACGTCTCCTCATGAGGCAGCAACAACGGTTGTATAATGAAAGCGAAACTCTCCATATCAACACAATGACAATTGTGACTGAAGACAGTTGTGATGAGTCAGAGAATAAATTGTGGCCGAGTGAATACATGGATGAATCATGTAAGTTACCTTCAGCTCTCACTAATTTTCATACATAATGAACCATCTAACCACTACAGATAAAATCAGCATATTCGATGGGAAGATTGAAATTGAATGTAATGAAGTGTGGGGAGCATTGCATGCATTGCAGAGTATTATACAACTGGTGCATAGAGGTAAATCGGGATCTGTAAGTCAAATGTGATTGCACTGACAACCTTATGATCATTAACACCTTGTTTGTTCATTCAACCAGCTTTTAATATACGAACGCATTATCAAGGATGCACCAAGATTCATGCACAGAGGATTTCTCGTTGACACTGCCAAACATTATATCAGTGTTGATGAGATTTTAAAGTTCATTGTGAGTCTCTCCCCCTTGTTGTTCTTCTACTTTATTCTTCACACCTGTTCAGGATGCGATGGCGGTTGTGAAAATGAATGTATTTCATTGGCATATGACGGATGACAGTTCATTCCCCTATGCGTCATCCACATATCCTGAACTCTCCCTAGAGGTAATTTATTCTTCTTATTTCTTAGAATCATTTCGATCTCTCTCCTCACAGGGTGCCTACCATCCACGAAAGTTGGTTTACGAGAATGCAGATGTTGTTCACGTGATAGAGTTTGCCCGTCTACGTGGTATACGAGTGATGGTTGAATTTGATACACCTAGTGAGTGGCATCTTTTAGCGATTAGTCACATCTTACTACTGCATTTTCGATGTTCATAATTTCGAGTGGAATGATTGCTCACTCTTTACCATTGAAGTGTAGATGACACTTTCGTCTTCCTCATGATTTCAGGTCACACAAAGTCATGGGAGAGGAGTCATCCAGAAATACGAACAGACTGTAACAACAGAGGTCATTTAGGCCCATTCAATCCTGCAAATGAAACGACATTTGAATTCCTGAAGGCGTTTTTCAAAGAAGTCACCTCAGTATTTCCAGAGCCATTCATCCATCTGGGTGGTAAGGAGGTTTCTTTCGACTGCTGGTAAGATTTATTTTTATCTAGTCTGAATTGAATGTTGAAGATGAGATAGGGCCAGTGGTACACTTGAACAAAGTTTTCAAGATATCCATGGTTTCCTTGACAACTAAAATGGCCATGTTTTTAAGGTTTTTTCGACGCATTAGTTGAAATATGAATTTGTGATCATTTGTTTGTGTCTGAGTGAGTCAGGGTTATCGTCACTACGAGTATGGTAAATTTATGAAATATGTAGCATGTGTATACATGACTATCACTCGTTATTCAAGAATACAAAAACAAAATGATACAAGTGAGGAATAAGTTTTATTATGTTATTAAACAGGATGCGTTATATGGATGAAAGTAATGTACGTGTTCTAATTTTGAGTGTTACTACCGTTCAAATTTTAAATAAGCTCTCTCGGTATTAAATCACTGCATTAGAAATAGTCAACATGCCTGGTTGTTCGTAAGAACATGAAGTTGTCTGAGTGAAATGCCTGTTAGGTTGCTGACATTACTATAAATGCTCACTCAGAATATTCTGCTCACACCTTCTAGGGCGAAAGATGCAGTGGACTATTAAACATGTTTTAACAATCTAAAAACGCAAAGCGCATCAGGGAGGTTGACTTCAATTTGAAAATTCCTGGATTTAATAAGTTTCAGTTTGACCTCGGAATATGAGATTCCCTAATACAACCCCACCGATTAAAATTTCACATTCACTAGAAACCCTATTTTAATGACTACACCTAAATGAACTGTGAAATCCAGTCCCACTTCGTCATAATCAAAACTGTTGGGCATGTTGCTTTTCGGAAGTTTCACAACATGATTTGATTCAATATGAAACTGAACTTCTTATTTGTTAAGGATCTGCGAAATAAATAACTGTTTCCTTCCTTTGTGCTGCCATGATATATTTCATCAATTATTATCATTTCTTGAGTTTCGATTAGAATTGATGGCACATATCCACCATGATATGTTGTCCGCAATCACACTCAACTTACTCTATGACTACCCGAAATGTTTCACTCCTCTCATTTTGTGAATCATGCCGACTGCCACACAACGTCCACTTAATTCTGCCCAATATTTAAGCAGCAGATTCCCCCTGAATTTGCTATCAGAGTTTTTCATGTTTATCCTGACCCTCATTTTGATTCACTACTAATGATAGTCCACAAGGAACACATTTCTTTGATTCATCAACTCTCTGAAACATGTGGGCGCAGTGAGTTCACATTGTTGTTGAAAATTAGAATCTTGCTCCTTGGACAAGTTCTGTAAACCTGTACACTGACATCAACTAGTAAACCACTTTCTTGCTTCCCCGATCTTCACTAGCTTTGACAATGTGACTGTTGCTGCCTGCAACCGAATCGACTCCACCAAGAAATGCAAAAGGTATGACTTCATTAGGATTTCTGTCCACGCTGGTGACTGGCTTTATATCTTCGTTACCAATCCATTATATATATATATATATGTTTCTTCCTGTTTATGCTGGAACATACCAATTGTACAGGCATAGATAAGTTATTATATAAATTGCACATAATTTGATGTATGATGAATTTGCAGTTTGGTTGTTCTTTTTGACATTAGAGTCAGTCGGAACAGTCTGCTATAAAGTCTGTTTGTGTAGCACATAAAGAGATATAGAAATATTGTCTTCGCATTAACAAAAACCCAGACATCAGATGAATGTAATACAAATATCTGGGAAAAATAAAGCTTGAAGTCAATTCTCATATATAACTTTGTTGTGAACAGCTCCCTTGGCTTAAAGATTATTGATGTATTATGTTGAGATCAGTGATATATTTATTCCATTTTTCAGCAGTCTTATCGTAGTTGTATTCTTCATGCAATGTGGTTTTTTGTTGGTATTGGAGGTCTCACTCCCAACAGTCTTACCTCATTCCTCTCCTCGATTCTAACGCTTCGTTCAGTTCTCCGTTTCAAATAACTTGGCACGTCGCATTATGCTGTAACTGCTGAATGAAGTTTACGTAGGTTCGCCGTATTCCTTATTGTTGAAGCAGTTTCTGCTAAACAACATCTAGAAGGACAACGAAATCTTTGCATTAAATTAACCGGCTCAGAGAACACAACCAAATCGGAAGAGCTGTTCACATTTGCTGAAATCCATTCAGGATGTCCTTCAAATCCACTGTGGCTAGCCACTTGTGAAAAGTGTCGGAAATGATGGTTGAGATGAAACACACTATAAACACTTACATTTGAGTTCATTTTACTATCCAAAGCTGACATCCACAATATTGTGTAATTGTTAATATAAATATTATTCACACATTCCATAAAATCGAATAAAACCCATGAGTTTCATATTCCCTAAAATATATCAAAATGTTTCCGCTTGAAATAGGGAATCTAATACTGAAATTTCGAAGTTTATGAAGGAGAAGGAATTCGGTAATGACTATGAGAAGCTTGAATCATATTATTTTGATCGACTAATTGAAGCTATTCAATCAGTTCAACCAGATGGATATGCCATTACACCGGTTGTTTCGCATGAAGTATTTCAGAATGGTTATCGTGTAAGTAAATCCTTTTCCATTTTTCGAATGAAACACCTCTCGCAAATAGCGAGCATCTGTAGTGTCACTCGTATCGCATTCCTTCGTGTTTCGTAACTTCAGTTTCCCAACTTCAGGGTTAGTTTCGCCTCAAGTTACGGGCATTATTCTCCATTATGGTGATACGTGGTGGTCACTGCTGCGTACGTCATCAAAGTTAATTCAAAACAGCATCGAATTTCCTCCTCTACATCTTATACTTTATAGTTCATACATTCAATACTTCGCTTAACGTATATTATACTGCAATGTATACTCATATCAAAGGTAATGATAGTGCCCGTATGATGACATTCAACAGTCGATTCCAAGAAAAGCGTAATAAAGTAAACTCGAAAGTAAGATGTTTGTTTTTCTATGAGTGGGGTCTACTTAACTGTAACCTGTTATCTTGAAGTCACCTTCAAGTATACATATAATGTTTGTCATCAGATCATTGAAATCAACATAGAATGCTCAATTACCAGACTCATGTTATATCGATTTATACGTTTAATAATCACTTAAAGTGCCTTTATCCATTTAGCCGAATAAGACCACTGTGATAAATGTCTGGAAATGCAAAAGTTGGCCTAAGCTTGTCAAATCTATAACGGCAGCTGGTTATCGTGTCATAGTTTCATCATGTTGGCGAATCTCTCCTTCAATTCATGCGAATCGATGGTATGATTATCATGAATGTGATATTGGAGCATTTGGAGGTGGGTAACATACTTGAGTAAAAATGTTTCTCTCTGAACTGCCCACATATCGATTTCATGTTTTTACTTAACTTAATAGGGTTTTGATTTGATTTCTGTAAGTTTCGCTGTGTGTGCAACCAAGAGGTGAATAATGCGAAGTGTGGCGCTGTACACCGTCAGTATTGGACACCACTTTGATAATACATTTGAATGACCTGTTAAGCATAGTGAACCGAGAAACATGATTTCACATATGAAAATTATAATATACTTGCTTCGAATTTGACCTTGTGGTACTTCTTTGCTTTCATCAGCGTTCACTATGGGATCAAAAATTAATTGAATTCCCATATGAGACAGTTATCACCAGGGTTAACCGGAGTATTCTATGTAGGAAATCGTTTTTCGGTTGGTAAATTCAGCTCTTGATACACATAGACGGAAATTCGGCCCTACTCGAGTATGTGGGATACAGAATTCAGCAGAATTAACATTTTTGAATGATTGAATAGGTTGAGAGGAAATCCACTAAATGAGTTTGAATATGTCGAAACTTTATGTAAGTTCCTACAGTGTTGGTATTTAGAGAGAAGTGCTTGAAAACAGTACAGACGAAATGTTTGTATCTAACTTTAAAAGTGATGTGGCAGCCGAATCCTTGACTTCGAAACTCAGAAACATTGAAGGTAAATCACTCTCTTGCAACACTACGGTTGTATCATTCCCATTGGTTGACATTAAAGCTACCGGATCCTGCAAATTTAATGTGAATTTGTAAATTTGGGTGATGTTGTGGGAACAGTTGAGAACAGTCGAAACGTCGCAACCGCAGCATCCTCGCTTTTTACAATTTTGCATGCTTTTGCTTCCTTAGCCTAGCTTATGAAGTTTCCAACAAAGTGCCTTCGTTCAGGAACATTTTGTGCAGTCACTCCGCCTTTCAAAACCCCCAACTAAACCCGTTAGCATGCTTCAACTTTATTTTCGCTAACCACAAAATTATCATATTTTTGAGCTTGGTAACTCCACCGACTTGTCGAGATTATTCACCAACACACTGTCGCTAATCAACCAAAGAATTAGCCTTGTGTGAAATTTTTAGTGTTTCTCAACCCGTCTAGTTTGCAAAAGAAGTAAATTCGTAATGGCTGTGATTATTCAGCCATGACTAGAAACTTGCTTAAGAAATCATCACCAATCAGTCACCAAACACCTGTGCAATTCATTCATATTCCTTCCTTCAGTGGTTTTATTAGAATTAAGATCGGCTTAAATTTCGGCTCCCGAAAACTTTCACCGGCACTTTGTGGGTAATTTTCCCCTCTCGGTTTGTTAAAATCCGATAAAATTTGAGCTCTAATAGCATTATTTATCCTGGCGGATATTCAACATTTTTACAACCTAGTTATTTACAAGTGTCTAGAAAGCATGACAAACGACATAATCATAGGTGGCAGCGTATCCCAATTCATGGTATAACTGTTCATCGGTTGTGTTCATAGTTCTAAAAATGTATCCAAGATCCCTTTATAATTGGATTCCGGTCAAACTTATGCATTCACCGAAGGAGATACAGAAAAGATATCACAATGGACTCGTTTACACCTTAAGTGAGACAGCAGGAAGTGATACAACCTGCTTTCACTTAATATTTCACTTGAAGATCCTGCATGGAAAGAAAGTCCAATGAGATAAACTTCGTTGAAGTTGCTGTACATCATACAAATACTGTTCAGAATGAACCTTTCAGTAGTGAGTAAATTTAGTATCCTAAGTGCAAAATTAATCCGTCGTATTCTTGCATAACTGTCTAAGGTACTGAGGAAGAGCAGAAATTGGTGATTGGTGGAGAAGCCATTGCATTGGGAGAAAATGTGGACGATTCAAATCTCTTCTTGCGCTCATGGTGAGTTGTGTCATCTGTCAATTCAGCGAGTGCATGATAATGCAGCATTTACGAATAAAATTGGTGATGAGTGAAGATCTTTTAGACAAATTATGGTGCATAATAAAGCTCAAAGTGATTGTAGAACAGAGTGAACTTGTTAGTGTATGCTGTATTTGTGATTTTGGCTCCCTCTTATGCATATATTGAGGGCATAATAAGCTTAAGATTTGCTGTTCAAACGTGGACACATGCGGTTGGTTTTCACTGATAGTGCAGGATGCCTAGACTGTCATTTATACATGCTCACAATTGCAATATATGCCATAATGTTACTGCAAATTTGTAGCCACGATTTCATACAGACTTAACAAAGTTGAGTCTTTCAGTTTTGGTATTTAAGGGATTTTTTAACGCGTTGTTTCACTCACGATGTCAATATTTCCTATCACAGTGATTACAGTGATCACAAAACACCAGCTAACTTATAAATACTTTTATCCCTCTATACATTATGTATCCGACTGAATCAGCACAAGATCACTGTATGCATTATGGTTAATCTTAACCAGAGAGATTATTGACCCAGTTTGTATGGCTAACACTTTGGAAACGCCTTTATTCACGCTGTTTAAAAATTCTCACTAGGCCTGAAGGTGCAGTTGTAGCCGATCGTCTGTGGTCACGTGAGAAGTCCACCATTGTTGAAATGAAACAAAGACTGGAAGAACTGCGTTGTCATATGAGAGAGTAAGTTCATACTTTACTGACCTCTTGAAGATAGTCTAAAATTCCGTTCAATGTTAAAGGTATATCCAGTCATTTCAACAGATTATTTGACATGACTGAATGCGTAGTAATAATTTTTTAATTGATAATACTTCAAATACTGCTAGTAGCGTAGGCAATATCGACATGCCTATCAGAAACAAAGTGACACTGATTCAAATAACAATAAATGAATTAAATTCCACATCAACTGTAAAAAACATCCTTCAAGGTGTGTTGAATAGGGCTGTTTGTTAGTTGTGTGAACCAACTCGGCATCTGGAACTTTCATGATAAACAACACATGTTGCTTAAAATCAAATTTGACTATAAAGGGTGTCAGCGGAAATATTCAGTTTGAGCTATTTAGTTCATAAGTTTCTCCTCAGGCATGCAGAATCGAAAGCCACTGCGATTCTAATCGCAGTTTGACAAATTCATGGAAATACAATGCTTTCAGTTAACCTATAACTGCTAGTAGTTGTCCGTTAGTTAGACTTTTGATTAAAATCGGGTCTTTGTGTGTAAACTAGAGGGTACACTTATCTATAGTTTCCATGTACTCCCTTTCCTGCCTACATGTACCTGAATAACAATTCAGTATCTGATATCTTTTATCCACTCATACAAAACGTCGTGAATGTTAGTCTTCACCTAACTACGGTTTATTAGGGTGGACATCCAGCTTTTAATGGTACGTGAAATTGAAGTGCTGTGGAATACATAGTCTTACAGTCATCACCCATTTATTTCATTTTCATGGAGCAGATTTTCTAAGCAAACATTTAAAAATAATAAAATTTCAGTCTGAATTGGAATCAGTGGACATGTTGTAAGAGTTCAACTAAAAATCCAAGACAATTACACCGATGGCATCTTTTTGCCAACAATTCACTACACATTTCCCTTTCTTTTGTGTATACAGCTTAGGATTCAAAGTGAAACCGATAAATGAACCGAAGAGCTGTCTACAACCATGAGAATGTGTATTTTCATCAACTAGACGTCGACGGAACACTCATTATTTTTTATTCAACATTATGGATTTCATAAAATACAGTTTTAAATTGTCTGCCTTCTGTGTACAACTTGACAAAATGTTTAAAATATGACTGATGCTTCATTCCCAATTCCAAGACTTTCTCCCCGAAACTATAAGACAATAAATTATAAATCCATTCAAGGCAAACAATTGCGCATTCATGTAAGTAGGTAAATGGAGAATATCATAACATCAACTTGTGTCTCATGTGGACGTGGATTTAAAACATTGAAATATAAGAGAATAAATTTTGCTATCGCACTATCGAAGAGCATTGGTATTCAGCAGTAATTTACTTAATACATACTACATCCTCCTCGGTAGATCAATAGACATGTAGAACGGGTTCAATTGTTCACCTCTTTCAGATAAAGTAGTCGGTTGAGAAATCAACGGAATTCAATAAGCTGACGGATGTCTATATTAGCAATGATCGCGGTGAACACTTAATTATTAAACGCCATAGCGCGATAATGAATATAGACAAACACAATGAAAGGACAACACAGCATCGCTAATGACGTCCTATCATCCTTATATTTTACCCTGGTCTCGTAGCACTGTGCATAACAGTAAATGCCCCAACTGGACTGCACTTTTATTAACAAGTTCATCAAACCACCTCACCAGTGAAGCATTTATAACAGACGATGAAACTATGCTGCAGAAAAACAAAAGTGGTGTCCGTCGCATGAAAAAGGTGGTTGTAAAACACCGTAATTTTCTGAGTACCATACTATTTTTCAAGGTTTGTAGCACCAGTACTCCGCTTCATTTATAGGGGCTATCAGCCACTAATCATAAACTGTCAATTTCCAGCTCTTGTTACGCTGGAATAACAATGTTATTACACAAGGTTTAGGAATATACGTTATAACAATAAATCACGATAATAATTCTGATAGTTTTTCAATTTTCCTTTCGAACAGCGGCCGATGAAACGATGACTGATTGATTGATGACCAGTGAAAAATATAATAATAATGTGTATTCTCATATAAACATATAAATTTACATGAAAATGCATGCCATTTTTACAGGCACGATCAAGTATGATATAATATCAAATCGTAGATTGTCTACAAGTTTAAAATGATTCAACAGTTAAATATTTGATATATATATAAATACACATTGTCTGAACTAGGCTGTATAGTTATTGAACTGTACAATTGTCCTCCAGGTTGAGCGGGAAAATCGACTTTGTTTCGTTTTCATCCCGTGGTTGTCGGCATACAATAACCAACCAATATTGAGGTAAGTACAACGTTTACAAGGGATTGAAAGCTGTTTTAGAAAAGTAAAAGTGCTAAGGTGAATCAATAAAGTGTAATGAAATGGGTAAGTGCAAGTATCACTAATAAATTCATTGAAAAACGAAACTCCCTAGGCTGACAACGTTCATTTGCAATGTATAATGCTACACATATATCTCATACTATCATGATGTCCACTTTTGGCTTTATTACATTTTTTCCTTATGCCGGTTTTTTTATATTTTATGCCTTTTTGTGCATTTAGTGCACAACCGTACCCTACAGAGAACAGGAATAGAATGAGTCGAATCAAATTCATAATGAGCTATAAAATGTTAGGTTTAATGGGATATAATGAGGATCAAGTAAAGACGTTATTAGAAAATAAGTGAGATAAGACATTGTGAAGTGGTATTTAAAGATCAGACAATGGACAGCAAGTTAGTTTATAAGATGCCCCATAAATCTGTGCAGAGCCCACATTGTCGCATCTCAACAATAGGCTGAGCGAATGGTATATATTTAGAGGTAGAAGCATGATCTGTCAAGGCGTTCATTATTATCTTTTTCAAGATAAAGATCTAAGCCCTCATAAAAATCAGAAATATTTCGAGCCTTTAATATGTGTATTGCTGTTCCTGCAGAATGGGGCGATTCACCTTAGTGACCCCCACCATATCTACTGATCAGCTAACGCCACCCTCCCTCCTTTTTTGATGTTAAGCTCTGAGACTATGATTATTATGGCTACCGCAAATATATTGCTTGGTACCAGACATATTTCAAGTAATAATATATATTTCTTCCTGTTTATGCAGGAACATACCTATTGTACAGGCATGGATAAGTTATTATATAAATTACACAAAATTTGATGTATAATGGATTTACAGTTTGGTTGTTCTTTCTGACATCAAAGTCAGTCTGAACAGTCTGCTATAAAGTTTGTTTGTGTAGCACATAAAGAGATATAGAAATATTGTCTTCGCATTAACAAAAAACCCAGACATCAGATGAATGTAATACAAATATCTGGGAAAAATAAAGCTTGAAGTCAATTCTCCTATATAACTTTGTTGTGAACAGCACCCTTGGCCTAAAGATTATTGATGTATTATGTTGAGATCAGTGATATATTTATTCAATTTTTTCAGTAGTCTTATCGTAGTTTTATAACAGGAAAGAAATTTGATCGTGGATACGAAAACTAGATAAGGTCATGTTGGGTTGTTTTACTGCATCAAGTGGTGCCGAGGTCGATTCCAGGATTCTCCATTTGCTCCATTTGTGTTCGTATTTCATATTCCATCTGTCAAGGTATTCTATTTTCTGATCATAGCCTAATATGCGTTTCGTGAGGAATCTTTGGACACTTTCAACTTTTTTTCTGTCTGCTGATTTAAAGGTACTGTATAAGTGGGCACAGTATTCAAGTTTGGGGCGAATGCATATCTTATATATGGCTAATCTGGCTTCTGGAGTATAAAAGTTGCGTAGCATAAAGCCGGTTAGACGTTTACAATCAGACACCACCTTATTTGCATGTTCAGTAAATGTAAGATCTGAGTATGTTATCCCGAGATCTGTGACTGTGTTTGTGTTTGAGACAAGGTCACCGTACATGTATAGACACATGCTAGGTTTCCAACGTCCGAAGTATGTTATCCCAGATTTAGCTGGATTGAACGTTAACTGCCACTTTTCACTCCAATTACATAGACTATTTAGGTCTTCTTGGATTTTACTAACAATATTCATATCATTATAGTCAAAATCATAGACAACTTTGAGGTCATCTGCAAAGAGGTATGGCTTGCCATACTTGATCATAGAGACAATATCATTTATGAATACAATGAATAGGATAGAGCCAAGAACACTACCTTGTATCACGCCGCTGGTTATCGGTTTGGATGTTGATAAGTGATGGTTGACTTTAACTAACTGTTCTCTTCCTGCAAGAAAGGAAGTTATCCACTCAAGTAGCCTTCCACTTATTCCATAAGATGGGAGTTTCAATATGAGTCTGTTATGCAAGACCTTATCAAAAGCTTTCCTAACATCTAGAAATAATGTTGCTGCCGAACGACCTTTGTCTACGCATTCAGTAATGTGGTCGAAGTAATCTAACTGGCAAGTAATGCACGATCTTCTATTTAGGAAACCGTATTGGAGAGGGGATATTAAGTCATTCGAGAGCAAATACTGAACAATTTGCTTCTTTACAATCTTTTCCATCACACGTGAAACTACGGAAGTAATGTTGATGGGGCGGTAATTATCTATGTCCGCTGTAGGTCCGGTTTTGTGAATGGGTACAACATAAGATTTCTTCCAGCTATTTGGATATGTTCCACTCCTTATCGAAGTTGAAAATATCTTGAGAAGAAGTAGATTCACGTCATTTTCATGGAGGAGTTGGGTTTGAGCAAACAACCATGAATCGATCGTTCAATCTTCAACTAAATTGACAACAACTTTATTTTGAACACCTTCCTTGACTTAAAGTTTATAGATGTATTATGTTGAGATCACTGATATATTTATTCCATTTTTACAGCAGTCTTATAGTAGTTTTGTCATAGGAAAGAAATTTTATCCTGAATATGATAACTAGATAAGGTCACGTTTGATTGTTTTACTGAATCAAATGGGGCCGAGGCCGATTCCAGAACTCTCCATTGGAGCCATTTTTGTCTGCGTGGCGGACTGTGCACGTAAGTTGAGTAAGACATTGAAAACCGTCTGAAAACTAGTTGCTTCTTTATTTCAGATCATGAATACTCCTTATACAGAATGTGGGGTTGACAAACTAGGCTCATTATTTAAAACTCTTAGCTCCATCTCACAAGCTCGAGATCTCCGTATGGGAAATGAAGAACGCATCGCAGTAGCCAGTCCTGCTAGAGTGTATGCACTCACAGAAATCTTAAAGAAGCGGATGAACCGCAAAAGTCACAGCATTTCTCTCCTCATAGACAAAGGTGGGCTATGCACTAATTCTGCAAACATGTGTGGATTATTCAACAAAACGTTTGCAGGTAACTACCTTAAGCCTTCAGTCCAGTTACTCAATATACACCCTGCTACTAATATGGCACAAACTCCATCTTCACCCGATTAGTACCGTTAAATTCACTTATGTGAACACTAACCAAACTGTGAGAGCCCTCAAAAGCTCAGAAAATTTTGGTGCTGACGGTATATTATCCTATTTTTAAAAATATGGTGGCCCTGACATACGCTCCCACGCGAAATTGAAATAGGAGTGACTTTCACGCACCCTTTTGTTGTGTTTCACGCTCCAAAAGTTTATAGATCAACTTTAATTCAGTTTATTATGATGGAAGTTAGTTCACTTTTCAGTTTTGAGTCTATTCAATTAAAATTTGTGTTCTCATGTCTAAACAGTTATATATACATATATATCCATTTTGTACACCCATTAGTTTTTCATCACGGATTTACATAAAGGTCATATATGCGAGCTCATATTTGAATCTTTTTGTTTTAATTCATTCTGAATATCATGCCTAATAGAAGGAACCGCTGTGAAAGAGCCATGTTCCAATTTTCTAGTTGAAGAATCGATGCGTGTGACAACTGCAAGAGATGGTTTCATAGCATGTGCGCAAACCTAACTTCTGCAGCATACATACGCTGCTTCAAACCTCTGGCGATTTGTCCGTAAAATGGCCGCTGCAATACGATTAAGTTTCGTATAACGGAAGCCGTTGCC